TTGGATTCATCCAGTGACTGGTGCCACTTAGTGGAGAGTAACCTTTTCTGAAGCCATATTGAGAGTCGCAAAGAAGTAAGCGGTAGTCAAAAAATCGTCATTTGCCAAGAGATTATTGACTCGAGGATCTTGCCAGTGATTGACAGGAGTGACACTGGTCTGCAGTTATAGATTTCCACTCTTCTTTTTGTGAACAGGGACTACGTTTGACTCTTTCCACAGAGAGGGCCATTTACACTGTGCTAGGCAGTGCTGACAGATGCGAGTCAGAGGTGCTGCTAGCTGGCCTGCACATCTACCCAGCAATCTTGGGCTCATCTTGTCTGGGCCCACAGCTTATGGGGAAATAAAATGCCGAATGCTACATCCTTTCAGTCTTAAGACTTGCTCGAGCAAATAGAAGGTCACATGATACACCAAGTGAAAATAAATTTATTTATAATTCCATAAATTACTGGTAATCCTCGATGAGATAAAATGTTAAAAAACTAACCATCACAATTTTCCTGCAAGGGAAAAAAATGGCTTGTTGTTGGTGAACAGCTCTTGATCCTCTGATCAGACCAGATTTCCACCGAATTCCATAGTGACATGTAATGTCACTGTGAAGTTTGGCACTTCTTCATGAATGTAATATTGTCAACAATTTAAATATAAATTTCATAAATCAAATTCATTTACAAGGTTTTACGTGACAAAACTTTGTGCATTAACATTACATTGAGGCTGGTAGTGGATATGTAAGTATTTAGATTATTTCTGAGCCAATGTGGCAAAATCAATGGTCATCAAAACCAGGCATTGGGAATTTCAATGAAAAGTCATTAACTTTTGTCTGTAATGCTTCAATTTTTGCTTTGATTTCTGTGTCATTGTCAACTGCTGCTTTAAAATCTACTAATTTTTTTCCAGATTTTTTCTTTGCATCAAGAGCAATGGAACAGGCTTGGTCCAAGAGTTCAACAACATACACGAATTCTTCATTCTTAAAGTTCCGGGATGTGAGAGCTGGAGTTCCTGTGGGGAAAATAGATGAACTGTCAGATTAATTTTTGTCAGTATTGTACCCAGAGTAGATTTATTAGGTTTACAATTGTGTAATACTACAATGAATTGGTTAGGACAGTATGAGAAATAATATAAATTTACTTTATTTTAGAAACCTTATGATGTATATATTATGAGTATGGACTGCTTTGAATATTATTATTATTATTACCAATGGAGTGCTAAACCTGCATGGATCATACAGTGCCTGGGAAAATCAGAGGCATTCGGGCTCTATCAAAGGAAAGGGCCAGTCCAATTCCTTGCATCAAGGAATCTCCCTTGAATAGTTTTACCAGCTTTGTGATTGATTTATGAAGTGTGTGAACTGGTCACAAGTTAATGTAAATTTGATAATGTTAGAAATGATAAGTTTAAAGTGCCAAATAATCAGTTCTAATGTTTTGTAAATAAAACAAAAACCCATTTTTCTTACATTTATGTACAATTTGAAAATAATTTATTAAATTTATTCCGAGGTTGATATTTTTTTTTCAACAAGTCGGCCGTCTCCCACCAAGGCAGGGTGACCCAAAAAGAAAGAAAATCCCCCAAAAGAAAATACTTTCATCATTCAACACTTTCACCTCACTCACACACAATCGCTGTTTTTGCAGGGGTGCCCAGAAATACAACTCTTTAAAAGTATATACGTATAAAAATACACAATATATCCCTCCAAACTGCCAATATCCTAAACCGCTCCTTTTAGAGTGCAGGCATTGCACTTCCCATTTCCAGGACTCAAGTCCAGTTATATACAATAACCGGATATAAAATAACCGGATTCCCTGAATCCCTTCACTGAATATTACCCTGCTCACGCTCCAACAGCTCGTCAGGTCCCAAATACCATTTGTCTCCATTCACTATCTAACACGCTCACGCACGCTTGCTGGAAGTCCAAACCCCTTGCCCACAACACCACCTATACTCCCTCCCTCCAACCTTTTCAAGGACGACCCCTACCCCGCCTTCCTTCCCCTACAGATTTATACGCTCTCCATGTCATTCATACTTTGATCCATTCTCTCTAAATGACCAAACCACCTCAACAAACCCTTTTCAGCCCTCTGACTAATACTTTCATTAACTCCACACGTTCTCCTAATTTCCACACTCTGAATTTTCTGCATAATATTTACACCACACATTGCCCTTAGACAGGACATCTCCACTGCCTCCACCCGCCTCCTCGCTGCAGCATTTACAACCCAAGCTTCACACCCATATAAGAGTGTTGGTACTACTGTACTTTCATACATTCCCTTCTTTGCCTCCACATATACCTCAATGCATCACTCACCTTTTTTCCTTCATCAGTTCTATGATTAACCTCATCCTTCATAAATCCATCCGCTGACACGTCAACTCCCAAATACAGTGGACCCCCGCATAGCGATTACCTCCGAATGCGACCAATTATGTAAGTGTATTTATGTAAGTGCGTTTGTACGTGTATGTTTGGGGGTCTGAAATGGACTAATCTACTTCACAATATTCCTTATGGGAAAAAATTCGGTCAGTACTGGCACCTGAACATACTACTGGAATGAAAAAAGTTCGTTAACCGGGGGTCCACTGTATCTGAAAACATTCACTTCTTCCATACTCCTCCTCCCCAATTTGATATCCAATTTTTCTTTATCTAAATCATTTGATACTCTCATCACCTTACTCTTTTCTATGTTCACTTTCAACTTTCTACCTTTACACACACTCCCAAATTCGTCCACTAACCTTTGCAATTTTTCTTTAGAATCTCCCATAAGCACAGTATCATCAGCAAAAAGTCACTGTGTCAATTCCCATTTTGTACGTATTTAATTCCCCATAATTTAATCCCACCCCTCTCCCGAACACCCTAGCATTTACTTCTTTTACAACCCCATCTAGTAAATATATTAAACAACCATGGTGACATTACACATCCCTGTCTAAGACCAACTTTTACCAGGAAGTAGTCTCCCTCTCTTCTACACACCCTAACCTGAGCCTCACTGTCCTCATAAAAACTCTACAGCATTTAGTAACTTACGACCTATTCCATATACTTGCAACATGTGCCACATTGCTTCCCTATCCATTATCATATGCCTTTTCTAAATCCATAAATGCAATAAAAACTTCCCTACCTTTATCTAAATACTGCTCACATATATGCTTCAATGTAAACACTTGATCTACACATCCCTACCCACTCTAAAACCTCCTTGCTCATCTGCAATTCTACATTCTGTCCTACCTCTAATTCTTTCAATAATAACCCTACCGTACACTTTTCCTGGTATATTAAGTAAGCTTATTCATCTATAATTTTTACAATCTCTTTTGTCCCCCTTCCCTTTATATAAAGGGACTATACACGCTCTCTGCCAATCCCTAGGTACCTTCCCCTCTTTCATACATTTATTAAACAAAAATACCAACCACTCCAACACTATGGATAGTAATTTGTACTTGTATAAATTATAATAAAAAAGAAGCGCTAAACCTACAAGGGTCATACAGCGCAGCAGGGCAGGGAAGGATGCAGAGATATTGGGTAGCAAGAGGGAGAGGGATTATTATTAGGTCAAGGAGTGCAGTTGGGCAGGGGATAGCGTAGGGGTAGAGAGTAGCAAGAGGGGAAGGTAGAAAAGGCTGTGAGGAGTGCTAGAGGCATCATCATCAGTTTGTGCAGTAAATCAGTTGCTGTCAAAAAGTCAATGAGAGTGTCTGGGTTAAAGAAGGGTCCATCAGCAAGAAGGGAAGGTAACGTAAGGGCAGTAGAGTGGTAACAACGTTGAAAGTAAATTCTGCATGCTTGTTGATAGTGGGAAGTCCAACAGAATATGGCTAAAAGAAACTGGAACCTGACAATTCTCACAAAGTGGCACAGGGTACCTCTCCATGAGATACCCGTGAGTAAGACAAGTATGGCTGATGCAAAGACGAGAGATAGTCATCTCCCAGCCTCGACACTGATGACATGAAGACGGCCAGAAACCTATACTTGGTTTAACAGTATGTAATTTGTTATGTAGCAGGTCAGATCAACATTGTTGTCAATGGGTGCAGAGGTGGGTAGCAATTACAGCAAAATAGTCTGAATGGATCACCTCTATATGAAACTGGGAGGTCATGTACTGCTGACTGACTGCACAGCAGTGTCTACCTGTTCATTGCCCTGCATGTCAACATGACTGGGGACCCAACAAAAACAATATCTTTGTGCTTGCTAGAGATATGGCAAAATCAACGTTGGATATGAAGAACCAGGGGTTGTGGTGTATTAAATTTTCTTATAGCCTGTAAAGCACTAAGGGAGTCTGAAATGACCACAAATGGTGGCACAGGCACAGATGCAATACGGATAAGTGCTATGAGAATGGCATACAATTCAGCCGTAAAAGTGCTAGCCGAGGACAATAAATGCCCTCGCACAATGCTGTCTGCAAACACTGCTGTGAATCCAACGCTGTCAGAAGACTGGAACCATTGGTGTACACTGTAATGGCATGAGAGTGAGATCAGAAGTGGTTAAGAAAAAGAGCGAGAGAAGCCACCATAGGCAGTTGGGTTTTCGTGCATGGCAGTGGGAAAGAACGGACACGAATCGTTGGAACTTCCCAAGGGGGTAGGGAAAAGTGAGATGCTACATGAACATAGAAAGGTGGTAATTGAAGAGAAGACAAGAGCGAATGTAGGTGAAGAGAAAAAGGATGGAGTAAACTGGCAACAAGAGCAATGGGATGACAGTGGGAGGTATCACATCCCATAGTACCCGGTTTGTGGAAAGGGAGAACAATGGCAGATTTCCACAGCTGGGGAAGAACTCTTGTGACCAAATAAGATTAAAGAGTCATAAGAGGACAGCATTGGTTGACTGATGTAAATGCTTTAGCAAATGAACATGAACGCTATCAAGCCCAGCTGCGATGATCAGCAAGCGGAGAGTGTTGCCTCCAGTTCCAGAATTGTAAAAGGCACATTATAAGATTCTTCTCTGATAGAAGAAGAGTTTAAGGGTTCTAACTCTCTGGCAGACTTGGAAGAAAGAAACGAGGGGCATAGATGGAGCCCCTGAGAGATATGGACATGATGATTACCAATTTTCGTGGCAATGTCAAGAGGGTTTGCAATAGTGACACTGGCAACCCAAAGAATGGGAGCTGGGTCAAGAGAGTATTTACCACTCAGTTTCTGTACTTTTTTCCAGATTGCACTAACAGAGGAAGCTGAAGTGATAGAAACAATCCCACCAGCAAGTGCATTTAGCATCATGGATGACACGGAGGGTGACCACTCACTTCTGCTTAAAATCAGGGAGTTGCTCCGTGGTTCTACTGTATTGGTACCTGCCATATGCAATGCGTTTCAAATGTAATGCCTGAGCACAAGCAGGAGACCACTGAGAATGCCTGCCAGAGGTCTGGGGTATAGAATGCAAAGCTGCAGTTAAAACTGAGGAAGAAGTAGCCTCACTAAAACAGTTTGATATGAGTACAGGTCCCAATTTGCTCAGTCAAACTGCCAGCATGGGCTACGAGGAGGTGGTGAATACGAAGGAGAAGTAAGGATGATTGAAAAATGATAGCTGTCCTGCAAGTCCTGGAGGACATACCAGGTAAAGTCTAGTACAGTTGAGGAAGAGCAAACTGAGAGATCGATGCAAGAGAGAGAATGAATACGAGGATCAAAATGGGTGGGAGCACCCACACTTAAAACATGGAGGGGGAGAGAAGCAAGAAAAGCCTTCAACTGAATGCCGCAAAAGTCACAGTGAGACCCCAGAGGAAATTGTGAGCATTAAAATTGCCAAGTAACAGAAGTGGCAGCAGTAAGGAAGAAACTAGAAATGCAACATCTGGGATAGATAATGCCCAAGAAGGAAAGAGATACAAAGAACAGATTGTATACCACTTATTCACGTTGATGCTGGCTGCAGTGTAATGCAGCAAAATATGAACAAAGAGTTGATGGTATGGAATACCGGTACACATAAGAAGTGCACTTTCATTAAATGTTCCAGTGGGAAAAGAATCTGACGAATATAATAACACATAACCCGAGATGGGATGGATAACAGCAGAGCATAATTTGGGTTCTTGTAAACAAACACAAACAGGGGGAAAACTGGGAGAGCAACACCTGTAGCTCACCCCAGTTACCTCTGAGGTTGCAGATATTCCATTGTAAATAAGTCATGATTTGCAAAGAGATACAAGAAATCTGAAGGTAGAGGTAGCTACGGATTAGAAGGGTTAGAAAAATCCATGTGTGGAGGCAGCGGAAAACACAAGCAGCGAAGGATTGGGATGCTGCGAAGAAGTTGTGCAGACGGAGAAGAGTGAAGAGAAGGAACAGGAGGTGGATCGGTGTCCACCGATGGTTTAGTCTCTTCAATATATTCAGAGACAGCTTCAAGTGTTTCAGAGAACAAAGACAGTGTATATGGGATGAAAGGGTAGTGGGAACTGGAGAAGCTTGGGAGGGAATAGGAGAGGAAGCAACCTGGGAGGGGGCAGAAGAGGAAGAAACTTGCGAGGGGACAAGGGAGGAAGGTACTGTATGAAAAGGAGGATGAACCTCCACTCATAACAGAGCCAGTTAGAGGTGAAGAACTGGGTACAGAGACTGGAAAGGAAAAATGTGCAGGCAGAAGAAGGGAAGGAGAGGTTAAAGGAGATTTTAACAACTTGAATTTTTTGGACTTTGGAGAAGTTGAGGGGTGATGGGGAGGAGTTGTTGTACAAGGTCTTGTAGACATAGAAACTTATGAGTTATAAGAGGAAGAGGTGAGAAGAGAATGAGGTGTTGAGGTAGGGACCTCCGAGTCCAGGACAGCAAAAAATTAGAGATGGGTGGCTGTGGAAGTTGGGACCCCATGGGTGGTGGGTCATTTAATAACTCGAGAATAAGAAATATGGGGAAGTCTCCCATGGAGGCGGAGATGAGAGACTGCCATAGCATAAAAAAAGCCATCTGCCTCTTCACTTAAGTAAACTTGGCAACAACAAGAGTAAGATGGGCGAGCCTCCTGACAATTAAGGCAAGAGGGAGGTAGACTACAAGATGTATTGGTATGGTTGTTGGCACCACAAACTGGGCATTCGGCCATGGACCTGCAATATTTTGCTGGATGACCAAAATGCCAGCAATTTCTACACTGTTGCAGTGTAGGGATCACCTTTTGAACTTGTAAATGGTGTCCCGCAATATAAACTGAAGAAAGAAGCTCATGGCAGTCAAAAGTGAAGTGAACTATGTACATTGCAAGAGTATCATCTCTGCCTGCGAGCAGGGAGGACATAAGTGTCTACTTTGAGGATTGGGAGGTCTTGGAGCTCAAGCTGTTCCAGAATGTCATCACCATATGTCTGGAAATTCTGTTGGACAATGGTATGAGGTAGAATGACAGTACCACTACAAGAATTGAGAGAATGATGTTTTTCAATAGTTACAGGAATAGCATCTATGGTTGTAAGGAGAGAAAGACAGAGTTTGGCTAGCATTCTGGACAGTGAAGATGAGTGTACCGCTCTTGAGAGCATAAAAGGATATATCTCGACCAACATGGCATAGGAGCGCCTTGCCAATACTATGATCAGAAAGATAGTCAGGAGCAGAAGTAGGCTGCAGAGTAAAAAACACAGTCCATTGTGTATTTTGAAACATAGTGTGTAATGGGAGGGAGTGTCATGTCAGTCTTTTCTGGGCAGAATGAGAAGGAAGCGAAGGAGTATCATCAGGTAATGGTCCTGGGCATTTAGGTGTGGGACAGGAATTAGTCAGACGTGGGACAAGCGGACGATCCGAAAAGCGCTGCACTGTAGAGGGAGAAGCCGGAAGCATGGTCAAAGAAGTGAGGAGGCCAGATGTATCAAAGGAGTCAGGTGAAACCCAGGTACCTGGGGCCAGTGATGAAATGCCACCAGAAGGCGGTACAGAGGGATGAGAAATGTCCGAAGAGTGGTCAAATAATGAGGCAGGGGTGGAACAAGGTGTGGGGGGAGTTGTTTCATGGACTTGGGACTCCATGGTTATGTCACTTTTTTGTTTTTTAGAAAAAAAAAAAAAGGAGGGGGGGGGGGGTGAACATGGAGGGATAGTTCCTAGGAGGAATGAAAAGGCCATAACTACCCCTCCATGCCCAAGAGGACTGCAGCACCACAAGTAGTGCAGATATGGCATGAAACCCATGCCACACCCTACCCTTCATGCCAGTAAACCAGCAATCTGGGATAGCAGCCTCACATCTTCTGAGTCACCTCGGTGGACAAAAGAAAGGGTGGCTGGATACCTGTCACAAAGCATACCTCCTTCGACCACCCCCCCCCCAGAATCCAAAAGGCAGCTTCCAGAGATAGAGATACACCCATCATATGTAGTGGCACCTATGTATCTTTGATATATCAAGGATGTTGTATTTGGTGGTAAAACAATCTTGACACCCAGCTCCAAATCTTCCAAAAGCTGAGGATGACTACGATAGTTATCAAGGACAAGGAGAACATCAAGATTTTTCAGGGACAGTCACCTCCTCACTTCAGGAATTAGGTGAAGCACCACTCAGTGAAGAAAACCATAGTCATCCATGATGTGGCACTGGACTTCCAAATAGCAGGCAATGTGCTTTTTGTCTTTTCCTTTTACACCATGGGGAATCTTGGAGAGAGAAAAACTGATGGCAGCCACTGATGACACAGTGGAGTGCCAGAGTTTTGCAGTTGCACTCCCCTATATGAAAAAAAGCATAAGATCATGCACCAAACTTAATGAAAAATGCTGGTTAGAGAAAAATATGGCCTAGTACGGTGAATGATTTTGTGGGTTTTCCATCAGTGGAAAATAAAGTTTAGGAAATTGTTGATCTAGCAAGGAGAGTGCCTAATGAGTAACTGCTATTGCCTTTTCTTTCTGTCTTAAACACACAAGATAACAGGTACATCTTGCTACTACTACTTAGGTCACACTACACAGGCATGCATATGTATGCACCCATTGAGTTTTATTTTTCCTTAATAGTTCTTGTTTATGGGTTTAGCACTTACTTATGATTATAATAATCTTGTTCTTGTTTTCCCTCTTTCATCTCCTGGGGAAGTGGAGAAGAATCCTAAAATGCCGGGAACAAGGCTACTAACCCCCTGTTTAATTACTAAATGCAAAAAGAAAAAAAACTCTGTGAAAGGTTTATTTTTTGGGTCACCATACCTTGGTGGGAGATAGCCAGTGTTAAAAAAATATATAATAAAAATGCCCATACTTCATGTTTTACTAATAAAAATAATAAAAAGTTTGTATGAAACCTTTTTCAAATAGTTTTCCTTTGCCTAATATAATTAAAGAAGTGTCAAGAATTGGCTAACCTAGCCTGAGGCCACCAGGGGTGAGGGCACTCTTATCACCAGGAACAGAGTTCTTGTTGACAGTGATATTGCACATGTTGCAGATGGTCTCCACCCTTGCACCATCTAAACCTTTAGGTCGAAGATCTACTAGGACCAGATGATTGTCTGTCCCACCTGTAAGCAAAGATTATTTAATATTTACTTTATGTATGTAATATTTTAGCTGAAAAAATATTACTTTATTAAGAAAATGCTATTACTATAATGGATGACTTCAACATAGATTTTTTTACTCTAAAAGTACACACATTTACTTAGGGCCTTTATTAATAATGATGGTATATATTAAAAACTATATCAAAGTTGTGACTTTTACACTGAGTCAGTTTGTTTATATTCCAACTACACAGAACAGATCCAGGAACAATATGTAAAAGCACCTTTTTATTCTCAGTTCCTTTCAAAATGTTGAACCCTACAAGGATGTAGTGTATTTAATGCAGTCAGTCAGATGAGATAATATTGCTAGGTATTAAGGGACATTATATATTGCTATAGTTGAGACTAATAATAATCTGGAATTTTGTTATTGAACACCTGTTCACAAAAGATTCACATGCACTCTCACACCAAGCCATAAATGTAACAACAATAAAGAAGAAATACTAAAGTTTATATTAGAGTGACAGTATGTTACCATCACGATTATAAGCTCTAGAAGAGGGATGCATTTGCAACCAAAGCTTTAAATCATGAACAGCCTCCTGATTCTTAGCAGACACTGCTAAGCTGAATCAGAGGTATGCAAAGCAGGTTCAGATACACAGCCAAGCAGATAATCTAGATGGGTGAACAGGAGCCTCTCTGATTTCAACAAGAAATGTTAAATTTTTTCCCTGCAGAATATATTCCACCTACGAGCCGATACCCTGTCCATCACTGCTTTATTGGCTTGTACAGTTAGACTATGATCCAGGAGTATGCAATCTGCACCATCGATGCTTAACACTCTGAAACCTGCATACCTGGGAAACAGAAATAACAAGCAGGGAAAGCCACAAATCAAGAACTGTTTAATGCTCAAAGGACACAACTTGCTAGTCACAGCCACAAATCTTTGCTAACTGGTCAAGAGACAGTGCAAGTTCATACATCTTGCTAATAGCAGCTCCTACCATCACACTAAACTGGTCCAGATCAAGGTTCCTATAATTAAAGAAAAAAATTATGTGCTCTCACTAGCCCAGCCTGGTTGACATCTGATCGTAATTTGTAAATGGATTTAGCCTAAGTAATTTTTATATTTATTTTTGAATCTTCGAAAAAGAGAACATGAAGCTATGGTCTATGTGCTTGTCTATATCTAGTATGAGGATGCAATTAAAAGTCCCTGGACAGTGCTTTGTGGAACTCAGCTTTTGACTGTACTCCAATATGGATTTGGTTAATTTGTGATCTATTTGTTAGAAAATTAATTTCTAGTTCCCTAGCTTATCTATTGCACCATTTGATCTTATTTCATAAGATCTCTCCATAGTAATATTTGTCAAATGCTTTTACTAGGTGTACATATAACTAAATACTGAAAAAGAAAAACTTGAAATAAATAAAACACACACAAAATGAACATGCAGACTAATAGCACATCACATGCAAGCACCTGTTTTTAAGTAGTTTGAACATACTGTACTTTTATATGCCTGACCTACAGCATTACAGGAAGAGTATGCAGCCTCTTTAACCATTAGACTGTGCACCATTTAGATGTATATATATCCTCACCTCATTTACCGAAAACTCGGAGATATGACAGGCTCTCTGACAAGTTGGTATTGTATGCTATACGAGAACTTGGGTCATGGAAACAGGCAGCGCAGTGTCTCGGCATCAAGCATCTCAATCTCCTTCCTACAGCCACTCAGTACACTAATTTCACAGTCTCCAAGACTATATTTTTGTACAAATTTGTACTTTATTGTGCACCCCATAGTACAAGATACAGTGGACCCTCGGTTATTGGCCATCCCAGATATCAGCCAACTGGTTATTGCTTGTTTTTTTGGCTGAAATTTTATTATCGGCCATTATTTCGCTTACTGGCCACATTGGATGCATCACCTGCCAGCTTCTTGCGCGTTTGTGAGTCAGTGTGGCTGTGTCTCTGGGCGAGTGAGGAAACTTCTGCTCATTCATCCAAACATTTTGTTATAATACAGTGGACCCTCAGCTAACGATATTAATCCGTTCCTGAAAGCTCATCGTTAGCTGAATTAATTTTCCACATAAGAAATAATGGAAATCAAATTAATCCGTGCAAGACACCACAAAGATGAAAAAAAATTTTTTTTTACCACATGAAACATTAATTTTAATACACACAAACTGACACTTACCTTTACTGAAGATCTGGTGATGGGATGGGAGGAGAGGAGAGTGTGGAAGTTGTTAATGTTTAGAAGGGGAATCCCCTTCCACTAAGACTTTAGGTAGCACGTCCTTTCCTGGGGTTACTTCCCTTCTTTTAATGCCACTAGGAGTAGCTGACCGTGGTGCAGCAGCAGCTGACCGTGGTGCAGCAACAGATGATGGTGGTGTAGCAGAAGCTGACTGTGGTGCAGCAGTAGCTGACTGTGGTGCAGTAGCAGCTGACTGTGGTGCAGTAGCAGCTGACCATGGTGCAACAGCAGCTCACCATGGTTCAGCAACAGCTGACTGGTGCAGCAACAGCTGACTGTGGTGTAGCAGCAGCTGACTGTGGTGCAGCAGCAGCTGACTGTGGTGCAGCAGCAGCTGACCGTGGTGTAGCAACAGCTGACCGTGGTGCAGCAGCAGCCGACCGTGGTGCAGCAGCAGCCGACCGTGGTGCAACAGCAGGTGACCGTGGTGCAACAGCAGGTGACCGTGGTTTAGCAACAGCTGACTGGTGCAGCAACAGCTGACCGTGGTGCAGCAACAGCTGACTGGTGCAGCAACAGGCTGACCGTGGTGCAGCAACAGGCTGACTGTGGTGCAGCAACAGGTGACCGTGGTGCAGCAACAGCTGACCGTGGTGCAGCAATAGCTGACTGTGGTGCAGCAACAGCTGACCGTGGTGCAGCAACAGCTGACCGTGGTGCAGCAACAGCCGACGTGGTGCAGCAACAGCTGACCGTGGTGCAGCAGCAGCTGACCGTGGTACGATAGTACACATTTCTCACCCTTTTTACAACAGGGTTGGTACTAGAAGCTTTCGTGCTCATGGTGGCTTATTTAGCAGTTACAAGCACTATAAACAATGGAATAATACAAAATGTATCGAATGTATGCATGCAACCGGCTACCCTGGCTTGTAAACAATGATGGCAGGGCTGGATGGACAGGATCGGGATGAGTCATGTTGGTCAGAAACAACTGGTGGTGGTGCAGCAGCAGCTGACCGTGGTGCAGCAGCAGCTGACGGCGGTGCAGCAGCAGCTGACCGTGGTGCAGCAGCAGCTGACCATGGTGCAGCAACAGCTGATGGTGGTGCAGCAGCAGCTGACTGTGGTGCAGCAGCAGCTGACTGTGGTGCAGCAACAGCTGACGGTGGTGCAGCAGCAGCTGACTGTGGTATGATAGTACGTATTTCCCACCCTTTTTACGTATGATCGCTTGAGAGATGGTATCTCCTGCTATCTGTTTTTCGTTTATCCACACCAATAACAGTCTCTCAACATCTTCGAGTACTTGTGATCTCTGTTTCAAAAACAAACTTGCACCTTTTGCAAGAACAGCTTCCTTGATTGCCGTTTTGTTGGTCACAATAGTGGCCAACTAGGTTCTCTACACATATGCTGCTATGTATGATAATTCTATGTAACTGTGTTTGTGTATACCTGAATAAACTTACTTACACTCCACTTTCTTCATTTCCAAAGTAATTTTCACCTTTTTTACTGCATGGTTGGCACTAGAAGCTTTCTTGGGGCCCATGGTGACTTATTTTGCAGGTACAATCACTAAAAACGCTGTGATAATATGAAATGTTCCGATTGTATGCGTGGATGCGTCCACACTGGCTGGCTTGTAAACACTGGCACCCACGGGACAACTGAGGCACACTCAGGCCACATGTGGACGCGTCTCGGACGAATTGCGTTGGGCGAGTTTTTTAGTGTTAGCTGAGGCAAAATTTTTGCGTTAAAATGTATCGTTAGCTGGATTTAAAGTTAGCTGATGCCATTGTTAGCTGAGGGTCCACTGTACATTGTTTTTTGTGGTTTTTGATTAAGTGCAACTACGAAATAAGCCACCATGGGCCCAAAGAAAGTTCCTAGTAAAGTTAGTTCCTTTCGTAAAGAAAGCAAGAAACACGATGGAATTTAAGAAAGATTTACTGAAAAATATGAGTGATGTGTGAGTGCAGGAACTTGCCAGGATGTAGGGGAAAACCAAATCAACAATCACTTCCATCCCGGCAAAGAAAGTAGAAATCAAGGAAGCTAATGTTGCGAAAGGAGTAAATGTTCTAACAAAACTAAGGTCACCAATAATAGAAGATATGGAGAAGTTATTGTTCTTGTGGATCACCAAAAAACAATTAGCAGGAGATAGTGTTGCGGAGTTGATCATTTGTGAAAAGGCAAGGCAGTTGCATGCGGATCTCGTAAAGAAAATGCAAGGAACAAGTGCTGCTGTTAGTGAATTTAGGGCCAGCAAAGGCTGGCTTAAGAGATTTAAGAAGTGTAGTGGCATACACTGTGTTGTAAGGCATGGGGAGGCTGCAAGTTCAGACAAATGTGCGGCTGAAAAATTCGGGCATGAAGTCAAGGATTAAGAACATAAGAAAGGAGGAACACTGCTGCAGGCCTGTTGGCTAAAGGATTCCTTCCCCAACAAGTGTTAACTGCGACAAAACAGGCCTCTTTTGGAAGAAAATGCCAAACAGGACCTGCATCATGCAGGAGGAAAAGGCATTGCCAGGACACAAGTCTATGAAAGACAGGCTTACTCTTTTGTTCTGTGGTAATGCTAGTGGGGATTTCAAAGTGAAGCCTTTAGTGATGTATCACTCTGAAAATCCCAGTGTGTTCAAGAAAAACAATACCGTCAAGAGTAAATTGTGTGTGATGTGGAAAACTAATAATAAGGCATGGGTCATGAGGCACATTTTCAAAGAGTGGGTCCATGATGTGTTTGGCCAGTGTGAAAAAACACCTCCTTGAAAATAAATTGCCACTTAAGTGCCTCCTGGTACTGGACAATGCTCCTGCTCATCCTCCAGACTTGGAAAACCAATTGTTTAGGGACTTCAGTTTTATATCAGTGAAGTTCTTGCCTCCTAACACCACTCCTCTCATCCAGCCCATGGACCAGCAGATCATTTCTAACTACAAAAAACTCTATACGAAAGCAGTGTTTCAAAGGTGCTTTGAAGTGACCTCGGACACTGACTTGACCCTAAGAGAGTTCTGGAGGAATCATTTCAATATCCTCCATTGCATAAGCCTTATAGGTAAGGCTTGGGAGGGAGTGACTTCCAGGACTTTGAACTCTGCTTGGAGATTTTGAAGGGTTTGGGGCTGACCCTGAGAACCCTACTCCTGTTGTAGAATGTATTGTGTCTTTGGGGAAGTCCATGGGGCTGGAGGTTAGTGGCGAGGATGTGGAAGAGTTGGTGGAGGACCACAGGGAAGAGCTAACCAGTGAAGAGCTGCAAGACCTTCATCTGGAACAGCAACAGACCACAGCTGAGGAAATTGCTTCAGAGGAGGAGGAAGAGAGGGAAGAAGGTGCTTTCTTCAGTGATTAAGAACATTTGTGCAAAGTGGAATGAGGTGCAAATTTTTGTAGAGAAATATCACCATGACCTAGCTGAAACAAGCCATATCTGCAACATGTTCAGTGGCAAAACCTTGTCCCACTTCAGGGAAATCTTAGAGATGCCAGAAACATACCTCTCTGGACATTTTTTTTGTGTGACAGGTGTGCAGTGACTCAAGGTGGTCCTAGTGGCAGTAAGAGACAAAGAAGGAACGTAACCCCACAGAGGGCTTTGATACCTGAAGTCCTTATGGTGGGGATTTCCCCTTCCAAACAATAATCAGTCCTCCCCCTCTCCTCCTTCCTGTCTTCCATAAGCCAACAAGAGTCTTCAATAAAGATATGTAATAGTGATTTAAATGTTCATTTTTCTTCTTTTATTTAGTTCTCATTGTTCTGTGTATGTAAAACTATAATATTTAAATTTTTTTTTTTTGTTAATGGAACGGATTAATTGTAATTACATTAATTCTTATGGGAAATATTATTTCGGTTTTTGGCTACAGTAGACCTTAACTTTTCGTTGATAGCCGTTATCGCCGATTTCCATTTTTGCCGACTATTTTCGTCAAAATATTGGTTCCGTTTTCATCGATTTCTTCCATTTTTAAAGATGATACAGAACCTGTCCAGTGCCCAGCATGCAGACAAAGCCGCCTCCCACACACATTCTCAGGCAGTGTTGTGCTGTTTTTCGGTGAGTGAACATATCCAGCTAGGTCATACGAAACACTTCATAATAATCCATTGTTTTTGGCACTTATTTATTGTGTGTCACTGCTAAATAAGCCACCATGGGCCAAAAGAAAGCTCCTATTGCCAGTCCTTTGGTAAAGAAAGTGAGGAACACGACAGAATTAAAGAACGAAATTATAGCAAAGTACCAAAGTGGAGAAGGAAGAGAGAAGGGAGAATATGCCTTCTTCAGTGATTCAGCGATTCTACGATATTCATGATACTAAAGCAGCACGAGCCGATAACAGCTATGGTGCCAGCCAGCGATAAAGTGTAGCATTAACAGTGTAGCAAGTAAGTTAAGTGATTAATTGATAGAAAAAGGACAGTACGAATCTAACTCCTCTAATGCCGTTGGAGTTATATAGGGCAACTGAAAACACCGCCATCTCTGCTGCTGCCTTCACCACAACTATGTATGGCTTATGCTCTCATTGGCCCTTACACACCCAACAACATAACGCCTTTCGTGACATACATAATGACATATTTTATTCATTCTTGAGTATATGTCATAATCTATATCATTAATATTGTTTATTATGTCATATTAGATAAAGTGTGATAGATAAATAAGTCGTTGATATTAGTGTTATATTGAAGCATATTGTCCTATCTCCAACAATAAACTTGTCTCCCTCTCCCCTCCTCCCAGTCTGCCATACACCAACAAGAGTCTTTAATAAAGGTAAGGTTGGTAGACAGCAACCACCCAGGGAAGTACTACCGTCCTGCCAGATGACTGTGAAACAAAAACCTGTAACTGTTTTGCATGATGGTAGGATTGCTGGTTTCTTTTTCTGTCTCATAAACACGCTAAGATAACAGGGATATCTTGCTACTCCTACTTACACTTTGGTCACACTTCACAGACACGCACATGCATATATATATATACATACATCTAGGTTTTTCTCCTTTTTCTAAATAGCTCTTGTTCTTTTTTATTTCTTCTATTGTCCATGGGGAAGTGGAAAAGAATCTTTCCTCCGTAAGCCATGCGTGTCGTATGAGGCGACTAAAATGCCGGGAGCAATGGGCTAGTAACCCCTTCTCCTGTATACAATTACTAAAAAAGAGAAGAAGAAAAACTTTATAAAACTGGGTTGCTTAAATGTGCGTGGATGTAGTGCGGATGACAAGAAACAGATGATTGCTGATGTTATGAATGAAAAGAAGTTGGATGTCCTGGCCCTAGCGAAACAAAAGATGAAGGGGGTAGGAGGGGGTTTCATTTGGGGGGAATTAAATGGGATTAAATTGGAGTATTGAGAGAGTTAGAGAAAAGGAAGGGGTAGCAGTAATGTTAAATGATCAGTTATGGAAGGAGAAAAGGAATATGAATGTGTAAATTCAAGAATTATTTGGATTAAAGTAAAGGTTGGATGCGAGAAGTGGGTCATAATTAAGCGTGTATGCACCTGGAGAAGAGAGGAATGCAGAGGAGAGAGAGAGATTTTGGGAGATGTTAAGTGAATGTATAGGAGCCTTTGAACCAAGTGAGAGAGTATTGTGGTAGGGACTTTATTTATTTATAATTTATTTATAATTTGAGCACACTTACAGAGGTACAAAAAAAAATACAGATAAGAGCAGCATGC